AGGCTCCGGTGGGACAGCTGCCCTTGGGCCCTCGGCCGGGTGCGAGGGGTTGCTGTTCGCCTTGGCAGCGCCGCTGCTCGCCGGTGCGGAGGGTCTGGGGGATGCTGCTCGGACTCCGGAGAGCTGCCCAGACCTCCCTGCTGAAAACCAGATACCACATGTTACACACCGAGGCTGCGTTCCCACTCCTCAGGCCGAACAGCGACAAGGGCAAGCTCTTCATCTTCCCCAGTGGATACCCGGAGGGATTAAACTCATTCACCCCAAACACTTCATATACAACAGGTTGCCCACGCTGTAATGGGGCTTAGGAGGTGATGTATTCCAGGGGGCACCAGGATTCTGCTTAGTTATATGATGACCTGCTGAGAGACCCTGCTCCCCCTCCCTGTTCCTCAGCTTCTGCAGAATGAAACATCTTAAGGAGAAGGAACTTTTCTGCAGAGTCTGGGGCCCTTCACAGCAGCCTCATCTTGCCTGGTACAACCCACTGCCCTGGTAAAAAGTACACGAGCAGTTTGACACACATCAACTGGCATCCTTCAAGCTAAGTACTTGCTTAGGATCAAAAAATTCACACAAATGTTACAGAAACCTCAACTCCATGGATAAAAGCCACGTTTTAAAAAGCAATGCCTCAAAGGCTTTCTGATATTTCCTTTTTAACAGAAAATGCCTGAAGACTCTTGAACTTACAAAATGTCTTTTCCTGAATAAATGTCACAAAGCAAGATGTCAAAAAATGCTTCTCATTTGACACACACAGAGTCTGATAGGCATGGCCATAGTTTTAAGAACAACTCAAAGTACTTACTGCCACTGAAACTATGTCAAAAGCCCCAGACACACAGTGCTGTGCATCTTTGGCTTGCCTTTTGGGAGCAAAAAACCTTTAGGTAGAGCCAAGATCTGTGTTTCCCTGCAAAAAGCTACTTTGCTGTGTGCTGCATGAGCAGGCATCAGCTGCCCAACAGTGACAGAGGTCATTACCGTGATTATAAAACTCATCCCTCATTGATGCTGGCATTTCTTGAGGTGAAAGCAGCAGTGGGGCTCCCACATGTGCCTTCCTCCTGTCATTGTGAAGCAAAAATACCCTTCTTTTTCAGATCAGTAAATTACCTTTCCGGATCAAAGCTATACTCTATAAAATCCAGAGGGCAAAAATCTTGAATGTGAATCTTTAAAGTAATACACAAGATTGTAACAGCATAGAAATATACACTAGTGGAGGTAAGGAAATATGAATTTGCCATTTGTACTGAAACTGATAAGCTCGGATTTCAATACTGTATTCAAGACACAATTAAAAATTTTCACTGAAATAATGTAAAAAGCTCAGTTAAAGAGATCAATTTGATCTCTTTCTTACCAAGTGTGGAGATAGCTTTTTATTTATGTTTTAAGGAATAAAGCACCTGGGATCTAGAAAGGTGGCTTCAATCACATTATTAATTGAGCCCTCCATGGTCACATGATGAAGTAAGCATTCAGAAAAAAGCAAACAACCCTATAAAAATCAATCAGTGAAGCTAATCCCAAAGTACTTTCACCCCTAATTTCTGCTAGCCCAGCTATGTTTTCATACAAATGAAGCCCTTACCTGTCATGTCCCTCTGGCCTGCTGGTCTGAGAACAGGAAAGCCACCAGCAAATAAACCTCCCAGAGGCTGTGGAGAGCCACCTTTATTAACAGCTGTGTTACCGCCATCTCTGTTAGCTTCTTTGGGTTCTGTTAAAAAGAATGAAAAACCCAAGGTATATCAGAAAATCATTTCATCCTTGCCCTGAGACTGCTAAGGCTTGGTGCCAGCAAACAACCAAGGCCACACTTTTCCTGTACTGTTACTACAGGAACTGCCATCCCTCTCTGACCTGTACCTTGGAGCACAGCACCCTCTTGTGCTCTTCAATCTCACACAAATCATGAAGTAGTTGTCTTAGGCTTAATATTGAATTTATGTTTCCAGAATTTTTCAGCATTTTTTGTCCTTTTAATCTAATAAAGAACAATTGTTCTGTGAGAGCCAACAATTCCCACTTAATTATTTTATTGAAATGCTCTCAAGGATTTCATCATTCATTATTTATTTTGGAACACAGAATGCCTGTTAAGGTGATAACCAGTTGGAGATTTACCATGAAGTGTTAACAGTCACTGATCTCAGAGCAGGATGCATGTTTAGACGGTGTCCCCTCTCTGCATCCTAAAACCATGCAACAAACAGACCTTTGCTGACCTTCAAACCTGCCCTTCAGTTTAATACTGACCATCTGACCTGCACCCACACTTGAGGCTTCAGCAGATCTCCTCCAGGGCCTTACTGAGGAGCACACACTCACTTTCAATCTGTGGTGCACTGCGGTCGTTGATTTGAGTCACTTTCCTCAGGCGAGTTCCCTGCTGGATATCAGCCAAGAGTGCGTTTCGTGCTTTTTGGTCCTCCTTTCGCAATTTTGGTATCTCTGAGCTTGCCTGTTGACAATAAGAGCTTTAGGTGGGAGGTACAGACAAAAATGCATACCTAGAAAGGATACACAGGCAAACTGGGAACGGAAAACTTGAAATAAGCCCTCCTTGGCAGCTGTCACTCCCAAGCCTTTGAATCAAATCAACAGGAACAGCATTTGGTTGTGCAGGAGGGCAGGAAAGCTATAAGTTTAAATATAACACAAATCTAATACTAGTTGGGCTAATACTGTTGAAAGCAAATTAGGAAACATGCTGAAATGCAATGCGACCTCGTTTGGCCATTTATGGCCTCTGTCCCACAACTCCACCTCCAACTGCCTCTGTCAGCTCTTATCATACTATTTACAATGCTTTACATCAAGATTTTTATATGTCAAATTACAATAAATATCTGTTTTATCCACTTAGGAAAAGGGATAGATAAATACATGCTGCACTTGTATTTGGATGTGATAATTAACTTAGACTGTCTCTCTGCACTGGAGATTAACACCTGTTTAAGAAGAATGCCTTTAGAATAATACAATTATATTTTAGGAACGTTTCTATTCTAACCAAGCTTGGTAAACGTACAGTCAAGTTGCAATTTAAAGTTTTGTAATAAAACAAACAAAAATTATTCTTACTTCTTTAAGTTTCTCATTATATATATTAAAAAAAAAAAACCCCATATATTAAAAAAAGTTGGATATTTCACTTTTTAAAGCAGATAATAAACAGCAAAGCTGTTATTCCAAAACCTATTAACAGAGCCGTCTAATCGAGGGGAATTTTCACATCAGAGGAGCAATGTTCTCCTTGCTTCCAAAATTCCCAGAGGTTAGGTAACGCCCTAAAGAAACGAGTACCAGAAATGTTTCCACAGCACTTAATTTTAGTATCATAGTTGTAATAAAGCAGAACAATACTGTCACACTAGAAAAACCCCCCAAAACCAAACCAGCTTGGTAATGGCATTCTGAAAGCAAAACAGAAACTTGGAAACACTTAACCAGCTGCTGAATTAATATTGTGACTAACTCGTTAATCCCAAGTGAAGAATTCTGAGGGTGCGATATTATTCGTAGTTATTTTTGTACTTGGCTAAAAGAATCCAAACCCAGCCGGCGGGGTTCGCCGCGCCCCGCTAGATGGAGCTCCAGACCGCCGCTAACGCCGCCGCATTCCCGGCCCCTGATGTAAAAACTCGGAATTACAACCTGGCTGATACGTAACCACGTGTTATTTTAAAATGTTAGGAAAACCCCCACTCTGTCACATCTTCCTTGTTTGGAACAGCGCTGCCTGCCCTCGTACTTGCAGAGCTTGGAGTCCCGCTGGCCATTATGAGGCCCCAGAGAAGAGCTGCCCGTGTCTGCGGTGTTAGACCAAGTTCCAGCCACAAACCATTCCCACTCCCCTTCTCTGGAAGCTGACAGTACTTACTGTGAAAAATGGAAACACCATCACTGGAACAAGGGTGATTCCCTTCCTCACAAAAGCTCTCTACCAGTATCTTCCACGTATTTTCTCTCTACTCCCACTAATGACTTTGCTGTAGCAGGACAAGCAGGATCTAGAGGGATCTGATCGAGAGCTATGTTTAAAATTAGACCCAGCAGCTGTCTTTAATTTCCGGGTTCAAGTGTCCATATATTATGCCAGCTGTCCATTTCACCTCCCAGATCTACTTCTCCGGGCAGACAGGCTATTAGAATGTAAAGTCTTGATATCCAGACAGCTATTAGGCTAAAGTAACCCACTTGTGGCAACTTGTGGCTAGTGACCCATGACTTAGTATCAATGTAAACACAAGCAAGACAAAAATCTGTCGCATCAAAAAACAGGAATATTGTTCTGCCATTCCATAATGCAGCATAACAAGCTGCTTCTCTCTTACAATAGATTCCTTTATGCCAAGAATAACTCAATCCCATGCCCCAGCTGTTTCTTCTTCCTCCTCATGTACATAAGAGACACAATCTTCTGTGCCCAGCCTGGTGGACTCGGATGATTGATTAGCTGCCAAGTAGCTTGATATGGATTCTCTCTTTTTCCATTACAAAGTCAAGATGGTCTGGGGTGTAGTGTTGCCTGGTTGCACAGCAGTCAGAGCTCCTTTGGATTTCTTGTTTGCTGCCTGCACTCCCAAGGCCAGTTACAATCCTTGCCAAGAACTGTTTCACCAGGTAAGTATCTCACTCACTCCTCTACTGGTGTCCAGCATTTGCAAATTCCTGGATTTACCATATTGTATTTTGAGGGAACCTTCTTTTCCTTGATGAAGAAAAAAATCTTAGATTCACACTCATGCTGTGCTTGCACTATGCTATGGCACAAGCACAGATAATAAACATGTAAGTTCTGCATCAAGAGAAAAACAGAAGGAGGAATTCTTCTGACTGTTAAATCTTCAGCCCTGATGACACCCAATAGAAGTGTTTCAGCAGGAAGACAAATACATTTTAAGTCACAGAGGGAAAACAGCTGCAAGAAAAAAGTTGTAATTCTTAGGCAACTTTCTACCTCACCATCTGCAGGGCAGCCTCATTTATTTACAAAAAGAGAAACATCTCAGTATTTCAATGAAAATCAGAAGGGAAGTGGAGAAGAATGTGAAGATCATTTGTTTCATCTGATGCCGGAGCTGCCCCAGGTAACACAGAGTGAAATTAAATTCCATACTTTATTTACAGGAATTGGTAAGGGAACGGTGGGCTCTCATTACCTTAGCAACCACTAGGTTATTCTGCTACTATTTCAGACACAAAGAACGTCACGTTCAGTACATACTTAGAAACGGAATGGAACAAACCACGCATGTAAATAGCCTGAACATAAGAAATACTTACTTTTCAACTCACCCAACTCCATCACATTTTGTCTCCAGTGTCCTAAACTACACACTCAGCTATAATATGCAGTAAAGTATTGGACTAATGTTTAGGGTATCTGCCAGGTCTTCAAAATATCCATAAATAGGAAAATACCATCAAATCATATTTTTACAGTGATGTTTCAAATGAAAATCAATGCTGGAAATAAACATTTCAGAATTTGAAGCTGATAGCTTAGAAGAGTGGAGATCTGAATGAGGACAGCATGGATATAGAGAGGTACCTAAATCATTGCAGTTTGAAAAGAACAACAACCCAAAACATGTTTCCCCACTGCTGAGGTGGAGGGGAGAAAGGAGAAAAAAAATGCACAATAAAAAGATATCAAATGTAAAATAACTGGATTACAAGTAATGGTCCTATCTGTGAAACTAAAGCCTGCATTCCAAGTCCCACAAGCCAGGAGCTGGAAGGGGGCTCCAGCAGCAAGCCTGAATAGCAAGTATGGCAAGGAGGGATATACACTCCTCCAATATATCTCAGCCTTTCAGAAATATATCAGAATATATCTCAAACTTTCAGAAAAATACTTCAGATCAAGGCTGGATCCTCTCTGGCAGAAGTGTTTCTTGTGACGCACAATTTGACAGGTCCTGTGCAGAGCTACTTGGTGATGTGCAGTACCCTGTGGTGGAGGGGCACAGCCAGCGGTTTGGAACAGCTTCTTCCAGTTAAGAGTTCTGTGGAAGTGGACTGTTCAGTTTAGAACAACAACTCTCTATTTTTGTACTTTCTACACATGGACCACTTCAGGTTTGACCCTGAATAATCACAATCTTAACAACCTAAACTGAGTTGTATAAAACAAATTAAGAACTGACAGACTTTTTCTAGGGAAAACTGACTGAAATGCATGGCAATGAGCTCCATTTCTGGGTACACTCTGCTGTGATACTTGCATCACCTTCAGAATGTCACTTTACATCCTGCAAGAGAGATGGGAACATTGACCTACCCTCTGGGCTCCTACAATACTTAAAATATTTAAGAGATGTACGTGCTCAGATACTAAAGTGATGTAAATGCTGAAGGCACCAGCCATTTGAAAAAAGTTTATATTAATACTAATTACAATCTTCAGATTTTAAAGAGTACTCCTGCACACAGAAAAGGGAAAATCCTCTGGACTCTACACAGGTAATTCAGTCACAGTTCATACATTCTGTCCCATAAATGGCTTGTATTTAGTCAGATTTTAAATATGTTCTTTAATGCATTTTTAAAGTACTTCAGGGTAATACGTATCTACATAAACAGGACAGCTGCAGGAAAAATGCTCCTCTAGCCTTCTGGACAACCCAATAGCCAGGCAGTCATGAGCCTGCCTTTCAGAGTAAACCCATCAAGTGATCTGAAAAGATGATCCAGTACTAAAACTCTAAATTAGATAGGAGCCATAAGTAAGATAAAGCATTATTCCATCCAAAGGCACAACATACTTTTACTCAGAGAACTTAACAGCACTGAGTATTTGCACTCCTAATGTGCAATGAATTGTATGATCAGTAGATTCCTACTCCTGGTCACATTTTATAGGAAACACTGGAAAGATACCTGTGTGGAAAATGATTTATTTATCTCAACTAGAAAAAAAGCTAAAACAAAAAAAGGCTAAATATATTTATATTTTCCCTAATTATTTTTGAGACATATAATGATAAAATTAAAGACCAATCAATGCATTTGACATCAGAATTTTATTATGGGCAGAAGAAGAGCTCTCTTTTGCTGACAATATAAATTATTTATATGAATCTGGTGGCAATTAACCTTCCTCTCTCCCATTAACATTTTTTCCCACCATATGCAAAATTCCCTGGACTCAATGCAGAGATCAAGAAAAGGTACTGGCAGAAGACATAAGCAGCATATATTTTAGTGGAAAAAGAGTTTGAGAACACCCCTTACTTTCTTATTTTTCTTTGCCATGCTCAGCCAAACCTGCAGAGATCCAAGCTGAAGCAAGTGATTTTTCACCACTGCAGCATGAAACACCTCAGGTCTGGCTTTTAAGGAAGGGAAAGACAGTGCAGCAAGATAAAGACCGAACAGAAAGCTCTAGAATAAAGGATATCTGATCACAGAGACAAATATTTATGGGGGGAGGGGGGGGAATAGTTTCTGAGC